AGAGAGAGAGAGAGAAAGAGAGAGAGAGAGAGAGAAAAAAACACACACACACACACACATGCATAATTTCACGCACTCACGTTGACAACACGATTTTTTTGAGAACAACAATAATGGGAAAAAATCTAAACAACTCAGGTCGAACGTAATATTCAGAAAATAAAAATAAAAATAAAAATGAGTAAAATCATGTAGAAGTATTTCTCACTAAGAATGAAAACCAGTTTCAAATTAAATGAGAAGAAACGAGTCAATAATACAATTGTATACAAAGAAGCAAATGAAACTTTGTAATTCCATCGCCGGATGATTTCCCTCTACTCCATTCCCCRCCTCACCCATCATGTTTTCCACGTGCGGTATCGATCAGGTCCTTTTCACCTCCGACCTCATCATCAATGCTCGAGGTCAAGGTGTCAAGATTGCGAGAATAGTGCAACTCCTCTGCATCCCTTCCCTTCCCACCATCCCCATCGCCCCCTCTCTGTGGTGTTAGCGATGAGAATGCATCACCTTTGTCAGTGCATGAGGACGGTTGCAATGATAATCCCGCGATGCTCATCCCAACAGGCGACTCGGACTCCATCTCCGATCTGCCTTCCAATGGAGCACCTGTCAATAAGAGACTTTCGTACGTGGCACCCACATCCGAGGGCTCGATGATTGACATATGCACATGTTCGGATATTTGTGTCGTGGACTTTTTCGCCGCACACGTTATCTCCACATCTGGAATCAATGCAACCTTCAAGCTGGAAGTTATCCTGTCATCTTCCCTCTGCTCAGCCTTCGTGTCCCCTGTGGCCAGTGCAGACAAAAGCATGACATTTGGAGAGACGTTCACCTCCATGGCCTCGACGGTGTGATCGACCTTCCTGTCCATTGACCCGCGTGAGGGGCTCGTGGGCAGATTGTAAAACTTGCGGCTGAACTCCAACTGCCATGGTCTCGCAGGACATTGAACAAATGTTTCGCCTTCGCTTTGATGGCGGCCTCGCTTTGCTCCGGGTTCTCGACCTGCACGCGGTATAAAATTGCATGCTCCGTCGTTTTCAGCCAAGGGCCCTTCAGGTCTTCGCCATTCAGTAAAACGTCTTCCAACCGGGCATGTACTTCACCGCCATCTTCCACTCCCCACCTTGGATGCATGGCTCTACAATGCCCTCATGCGAGATGATATCATGACCCTACTTGTCCTCACTGGTGCGGGCGTATTTGTCCTGCAAAAAATGGATAGTGGTCGGGTCCGCACATAAGTCGGGAGGAATCGGTTCGCCCGGCGCGAGCTTTAACGCTTGGTCAGGTATATCAAGCTCATCTTCTTCATCGCCGCGGCACATCCCAGTCTCTGCATCCATAGGAGTACACTCGACGCGGCCGACCATTGAGGTTACACTGTTCGCGAGTGGCAAGTTGGAGCATCCCTGTGAACGCGCGGTTCCGTCATCGTGTGCCTGCGTCATGAGACGACCTGGATCATGTACGTCGTGGTCCATTGCAACGCCCTGTTCAGGCCTCCCGGTTGCATCAGTGTCATTTTCGATATCGAGGTCGGAGTCTGATGAGTCTTCATCGCTGTCGACAGGGTTAAACCCTTCACCCCATTTAGCGAGTTCTGCACAGTCCTTGAACGTTAGTTGGTCTTTGTAAAGATTGAACTTTAATATCTTGCATCGAGCAACGAATATCTCAAAGGCGCCAGTCAGAGCACCGTGATAATGTTTGAGGGTCTCTGTTGCCTTTGCTTTCTTATATATATAATTCCCGTCAAGACATCCTTGCGGCGCATCGTGGAATAGGTATTCCCACAGCTTCAATCTCTTTGGTCCCAAGTTGTGGTACATGTCCCTGTTGTTGCGATATGTGGAACGCGGCTTCTCGAATCGGCAGTCGAATCTGTTATCCTTGACAAGTATTTCGATGAACTTTGTCAAATATGCATTTTCCTTGGCCGACTCGTCACAGACAATGTTATTATTTTCTGCAAGCAAGAACTCTCACATAAGACCGCGTGCGTCCTACCCAGCAAAACCACACCTTCCGCCTCTCCGATAAATGAACCGTACAACGAATGCAACCTGCCAGGTTCTCACTCCCATATTGAATACGTAGCACTTTCGTCGCCGTCAATGCCACCGCGTTTTCCGGACACTTCCTGAACTTCTTCTCCACAACATGCACTTCGGTGAGGTCATTGAGAAGCCGGGGTGTGACAATGACTTTTTTCATATCCCCTCCTTCAGCGTGCAGGACAATGGCCATCATATCTCGACTCGTCGTAGCGATATTACCGTACCTTGTGACATCATTCGATGACATGTCCACCCGTTGCCAGGTCCCAAGGATGAGTTCGACGTCCTCCCAACGGAACAAGTGACACAAGACATCGCTTTGCACATTTTGCGGTGCAAAAAAGAAGAGGACCCAATTCTGGCCACAACACTTGGTCATCATTGTGTGCAGCACATCAAAATCCTACGAGGTCCATGCACTGCTGAAATTGGAGGACGAGATGTCCACGATGGCGGCCCTGCGTGCCATTTTTTGCGCCGAGGCGACGATGTCGTCGGGCGTTGTCAGTACTTCCTTCGACCGCATGCATACAGAAAGCAATGTCGCTTGTCTGCCGAGTTTGTCCTAGACAAGATGACATGTGCAGAATGCGATTCGTTTCACCTCCTCTCGAAGCAAATCGAGCTTATCGATGACGGTGTATATAAACATCTTGAAGTGAAACGGAGCCTCCTTGTACATTGCATCTGTAGGCCCCAAGCCCGCACCTTGCCTTGCCTCCTCCACTCCTCCAAGTCATCGAGAGACCATCTTCACTTTGTTGCTATGCAACTTCTTTCGTTCCTTCTCCTATTCAGTTGTGCATAGCCCTTTTGGTTCATACCTCTCTTCGAGGTCCTTGTACGACATGAAAAAGTCGTCATTCCATTCGTGATCTGCCCTCTCCTCGGCGCGGAACACAACGTAGTTGAACATGCGAACCATGTATCTCTATTTGCACATGATGTCGAGGAGGCACTAAGTGTTCACTCTTGGAGGTGAGACTTTGACGTCCGTTGCTACCACCTTCCCCTTCATGAGCAGGTGCAGCGCAACTTCTCTCTCGGGACATGTCATGTCCCCGAAGTTCTTGAAGTGCGAAGGACACAGATCCTTCCAGGACATGGCGGAGCCTTTGAGACCATCTCTTGTGTATATGCAATGGTACAATGTCCTTTGTTCCTCGCTTTTGTCGCTGTACGGTCCTGACAGGCGCCCCTCCATCCTCCCAGGCATGTCCAACGGGATCTTGTCATCGCTAATTGGTAGCCTCCCTTCCTCGAACATTGCGAATAATCTCTCCACCAGTGGCAATACTGCGTTGGTGGACGTAGCGAGGTTCATGTACCCCCGAAGTTTTATTACTCCAGTGCTTACTGTATTTGTTCTCGAGGGCCTGCTTCACAAACGCCTTGTCGCACGCCTTCCCCATGGAGGCCCTCAGGAAATTTTGCCACTTTTTCTGGTGCGCAACGGCGACGTCATCCTTATCGCTGACCTTAGTTTTGGGGGCCTCGATTCTGTTGTTATCGATCCACCATTGCCTTATATCACGCACAACGTCTTGAAAGGACAACATCATGACGCGATTTTCACATGTGTTGTCGAAGGCGGAGACATTGAAGTACCCTCATGTCTGGTCATCTTCGAAATAGAAGGCTCGCACTTTAGAGTACGTGTGGAGGCCATAAATTTTGACGGTGGCGGAGCCCTTTGCCACCAATCGTTTCATGGCATCGGCGGTATGCTGATCACAAACAGCGTACCAATATAACTCTCCAGGGTCTCTTTGCAAGAATTCGGTCGGCGTGATTCACCTTCCCTGTCCGGCCACAATGTCATGCGGATCAATTGGCACAAGGACGAGCTCAAGTCTATCCCACGCCCCCGGGTCGCTAGTAATGAAACTTTCGATGACATTCTCGATGCCTTGTATAATGTTGTCAGACAAAGAGCGGTGGTTGTAAGGAATCTGCCACGGGTAATGCATTTAATTCTCATGACATCGACATTAACAACATACACATGTTCCCTAGCGAAATCGTCCTCATCATATTCGAGGAAGAAACAACGCGTCGTGTCGAGGGGTGAGGAGCACTGAATTGGCTCTTCAACACCGTCGGGCATACGAGGCCCCACCCCCGAGTCCCGCAGTTTTTGTGACCTATTGTTTGCAAGCCTTTCCTTCCGCCGCCACGACTGCAACTTCGCCCCCCCTGGTAGTTTTCCGAGGAGCGCATGCTTCCTAGGATGTCATCAACACTCCGTGAACCTCATTGACGACGTCAGTCCTTGCTTCTTTCTTCTGACTCACAGGAGAGAGAGACGTTTCTCCCCTCTTTCTCTTTCCGCTTAAGCCTTGTGTGTCACGCCCACCCTTCGTCTGGTTATGCGACTGTAACACCCCATGAGAGGTTGTAGGTTGACCACAGACGGCGCGTGCATCACCAATGTCGAAGGTGTCGTCGTCATGCCACTCCTGCCTGCATTGTGGTCCTTGCGCCGTCGCTCACAGTGGGAGAAACGATTCTCTTCGACTTCGTCACCGCCAACGTTCCCGTCGTTATTCATGTTGTCGTCTTCACCATCCACATCTCCTTCATTGCCCTCGTCGTCCTCCTCACCACCGGCTTTTGCTAGTTCGCCCTCCTCTCCCTCTTCATCGACGACGCTTGCACCTCCTTGGAGACAATGTTGGGGACTAGTCTGGCGGCGCATAACGTCGTCGTCGTATTCTGTAGCCTCGCTGGAGCGCTCGACCAAGTCCAGAGGTTGTTGCTGCGAGGGCGAGGCCGGAGCCGCAAGACCCTGGACAAACACATCCGTTGGAGGCGGACCAGTCGGCATTTGCTTCCTCTTCGCACCCGTTGTGGCCGACGGATCTTGGAGCCGTTTGGAAGTCGGCTCGATGGGCACGGAAGCACAGTCGACTTGTTGTGCAACAGGCAGCTTCGCGAACTGTTCCCTGTATCACATAAGAGCTCCTGTCAACTGGTCCGTCGGGGTGTTGAACTGGACCAAAGGTCTGCTAAGGTTGGAAGCAGCGTTGACGACGAGTAGGGAGCCAGTGATGTGGTAGTCGTTGGTTTTGGAGAGGAACTTTTCCAGAGGCAGCATTCGGAACTCCGTGTCGTTGCCACAGACGTCAAATGCTTTCATCGAGAAAGTCGTGACGCCGTAGCCTTGGAAGAGCCGAAGGTCAAAAGACACCTTCTTGTCCTCCTTGACCCAATTTTTCCATGTGCTGTCATAGACAGACCTAAGGAAGAAGGTCCTAAACTTCCTCCCGTCATAGTTAGCCCTCCCCGTTTCCGATTTCTCAACCCCTTCGCAGCAGTACGAACTCCTGTCGTTGTCATCGCTCAAGAAGACAACGGCTCCACAACCCGATGTATGAAGATCACCAACCCAATCAAGAGCCAAGGGTTTGTCGTTGTAGAGCTTAGACCTACCATACGCACACTTATTAGAGGCGGAGGGCGGAGCCGCAACTTTTCCTGAAAAAAAAACACGACAAAAAACAGGGCAATCGCCAAACAGGATTGTGGAACCCGAATAACATCTTGTAGGCCATAGACTAACGAGACATACATGATCGATGAACGGGGCAGCAGATCCCAGATTATGGACCGGGAGGGATCCGGCGGATCCAAAATGCCGGACCCTCTCCCGAACGACGTGGGGGTCCGGCGTTCCGGATCCGCCGGACCCCCCCGCATCATGGACGGGGGGGGTCCGGCGGATCCGTAACGTCGGACCATCATCCAAAACGTGAGAGGGACCGACCTTCCGGATCCACTGGATCCCCCGACATCATGGAAGAGGGGGGGGGGGGGGGGGGGGGGGGGGGGGGACGACGGATCCAGAACGTTGGACCGCCATGCAATACGTGAGAGGGTCGGGCGTTCTGGATCCGCCGGACCCCTGCATCATAGACCGGGAGAGATCCGGCGGATCCAGAACGTTGGACCCTCTCCCGAACGACATGGGGGTCCGGCGTTCCGGATCCGCAGGACCCCCCCCGCATTATGGACAGGGGGGATCCGGCGGATCCGGAACGCCGGACCCCCATGCAAAACGTGAGAGGGTCCGGCATTCTAGATCCGCCGGACCCCCCCATTATGCACCGGAAGGGATCTGCCGGATCCAGAACGTCGGACCCTCTCCCGAACGACAGGGGTCCGATGTTCCGGATCCGTCGGATCCCCTCGCATCATGGACGGTGAGGGATCCGATGGATCCGGAACACCGAAACCCTATGCAAAATGTGAGAGGGTCCGACGTTCTGGATCCGCCGGACCCCCGTATCATGGACCAGGAGGGATCCGGCGGATCCAGAATGCCGAACCCTCATGCAATACATGAGACTCGTTGTTCTTGCGTCGGTGTCCTCAATGGCGGACCCCCGTGCCCGCTGCAGCACGGGGGTCCAGCATTCTCAGAACGCTTGACGTCCGTGCAGCAGCGGGCATAGAGGGCGACGACTGCTGTTCCTACGTGGCATTGCCCCATCAGGACTTTTTTGAAACGAAACTTTTTTTTTAAAGAAAAAGAGAGAAAAAACAAATCCCTGTAGGATGTTGTGCAGAGAGGGAGACCAATCTTCTTCACAGTCTTCGATTGTTGTTCCTACGTGGCATTGCACCCATGAGATATTGTGGGGATAGGGAGATCAATCCCCTTAACAACCTTCGATTGTTGTTCCTACGTGACATTGCCCCATCACGACGTTTTTGAAATACAACGTTTTTCAGCAAAAAAAAAGAAGAGGAAAACAACAAATTCGCATGAGATATTGTGGGGAGAGGGAGATCAATCCCCTCCACATCCTTCGATCGCTATTCCTACGTGACATTGCACCCATGAGATATTGTGGGGAGAGGGAGCTAATACCCTCCACATCCTTCGATCGTTGTTCCTATGTGGCATTGCCCCATCACGACCTTTTTGAAATCCCCTCCACAACCTTCGATTGGTGTTCCTACGTGGCATTGCCCATCACGACGTTTTTGAAATACAACTTTCCCCACCCCAAAAAAAAGAAAAACAGCGAATCCCCATGGGATATTATGGGGAGAGGGAGATCAATCCCCTCCACAACCTTTGATCACTGTTCCTACATGACATTGCCCCATCACAACCTGTTTTGGAATATACATTTTCAACAAAAAAACGACAAAAAAACAACAAATCCCCATGAGATATTGTGGGGAGAGAGAGATCAATCCCCTCCACAACCTTCGATTGCTGTTCCTACGTGGCATTGCCCCATCACGACGTTTTTAAAATACAACCTCCCCCCCCCCAAAAAAAAAGAGAAAAACAGCATATCCCCATGGGATATTGTGGGGAAAGGGAGATCAATCCCCTCCACATCCTTCGATTGTTGTTCCTACGTGGCATTGACCCATCANAAAAACAGCATATCCCCATGGGATATTGTGGGGAAAGGGAGATCAATCCCCTCCACATCCTTCGATTGTTGTTCCTACGTGGCATTGACCCATCACGACCTTTTTAAAATACAACTTAAAAAAAAAACAAAAAAAAAACAGCATATCCCCATGGGATATTGTGGGGA